ATGAAATAAATATCTATTTCTGTTAAATTGTTTGCATATACTTGAAGTAAATGCTATATATCAAAATAAAATAATTTTTAAAAATAATATAAAAGAGTGGTTATAGTGAGACAATATTTCAATCAAAAAGAAATTTCTATAAATGCTCGTATGTAAGTTTTTAGACTAACTACACAGTTATTTCCATCATACGAAATGAAATGTCTAATTATGGCCGTGTGCGAGTTCGAGTAAATTGAGGTAAAGTAAATTGAAATTTCATAGGGATTTTTAGCACTGCACTTACCAGTGCTAAATATGTAAATATTTATTTATTGCATTTATTTCTTATTTTTTGCTAAAAGTTTTCAAATTTATTTATTTATTAAACATTCTATAAAATTTTCACAATGGTAGCACCTAATTTACTTAATTTTTATCTAATTTGCCCTACTCGAAATTCTGGTAAATGTCAACAGCCGCTGCCATACCGACATAACTGACTATTACCCTCAATTTACCATCAATTTACTCGAACTCGCATACGGCCTATAAAATAATATAAAAGCACAAATATTATAAGAGGTATTGGTTTATTTTTTTTTTTTTTAAATACGAAACTATTTTTTTCTAAAAATAGGGAATTCAACTCTCATATATCATTTTTATCGACTAAGTAATATTTCAATTTGTTCCACTGTACAGTCGGGCTGTACCGATAAAAAAACGGATGCTGTAGTCGCGTGTATCTTTCAATAACATTATTATTCTTCGGCCCCATATTTTATTATAAACGAACATTTTGAGCAGGCATACAAAAGATGAATACAACCTCATGACCACCACTTCCTATCTTACTGGCTAGCTCTTCTATAAGTATCTGCCTAAAAGATAGTGCCCTATTAACAAAGTGATTATGTGAGATGAAAAAATATTTTAACTTATGGATTTTCTTTTTTACTATACATGAATCAAGTTGTTCTAACGACTTAGTATGTGTATAATATTGTGGTCAGAATTTTATTTGTTTTAAACTATTAGAATACGCTTACAGTTGTTCATTTTTCCAAGTTAATACATTAGTCATAGTTGTTTGTGTTTTCTATACAATAAATTAGTCATATAGTTTCCTAGAATATCCTTATAATTTCTTATTTCTTATTAAAAAAAAAAAAAATAAAAAAAAAAATTTTGTTGTTGTTTCACTTCTGTTCGAAAACCTCTTTATTGAGATATTAATATTAAGATATTTATGGCATTTTCAAAATAGCTTAGATTTACAAAAAAATGGAAACGATGGCATTATCACTAAATATCTTATATATAAAGACTTACGGCAAGTTTTAGGTACATTTACTAACTGCGTAGTAGATAGCAACTATTACAGCTTAAAAAATATAAAAGTGCTTTACAAGATAAATGAGAAGATTTAGATTTATCTTCTCAGAGAATCAAGCATTGTATAGTTTTTTCATTATGCAATAGTTAGTGTTTTAAAAGATTCACTTGAAATTTAATAGTAATAGATAAAATTCTTTAAATGTGTGAGTACAAATGTTGTGGTTGGGTACCAGGTTGTATTAGAGTATTGTCAACAATATTGCTAGAAAATTGATTGAATGGGTATAGTATGAGTATACCGTGTATATAACATCTTACACTGTAAAAGATTCAGACTATACCATATTCGATATTATTTCTTTATGAACGAAATAATAAAAAAAATGATAGAAATGTGCGGGGAATATAAATGATAAATGCAATTTATATTAATTAATTAATAATATGGAATGATTTGTTATTGTAATCTTTTATACAATTACAATACAATTCGATCGATATATGTCTAGAAATTGTATCAACATTAATTACAAATAATTTTCACAGAACAGTGTTGACATAAAAACGTTTTGTTTATAATTTCAATATTATTTAAAAATGACATCTTAGTAAAAGCGAAGATAATAGTTTATAATAATTTATGTAACATTATTGAAATTACAGATTGATATTAAATTTAAGATAGACGTATGTAAATATCGTTATTTTTTTAAATATCCTATTTCGCTTTCAATAAATAATTTTGTTAAAAATTTTATAAGATGTTTAATTAAATTAATTTTTTTTAAATATATGTATAAAATTATTTTTGCTTTATTTTAAAAATAAACCACATGGCATAGTGATAAGCTATAAAAAATATAAGCGGAATATATTGAAGGTCAGATTTATATTATTGACAAACTTAAAAAAATTATGGTGGCAAATAAATGTATGTATACCAATTTTAAATTTTCTTCTAAATAATCTTCCTATTAAAAAAAAATAGAAGAAATTAGATTGAAGCTTCTTCAAAATGATTAAGGAGAGTGCCTTATTTAAATGTGTTTTTGCAGTGTAAACACTTATTTCTAATTGTGCAAATTAGATTAGATTGAAGCTTTTTCGAAATGAGTAAGGAGACTACCTTATTTAATTGTATTATTGTTATTAAATTTTTTGCTATTTATGATTGGGTTAAAAATATATTTATTTATGTGAATTATTTTTAGTAAACTTAATAGAAAATTTTAATTCTATCTCATATTTTTAAAATATATACTCATTTCAATCAGTGTAAACACTTATTTTTAATTGTGCATTTATAGTTTATTAAAATGCGATAGGTGTGAAGGGTAAATGTACTATAACATAAGTTAAAGCTTTTTCGAAATTTTTGACGAGAGTGTTCTGAGAGTATACTAAACGCTTTCAAAGTGAAGTAGAGTTTAAAATTAAATTTAATGTCAAAATTTAATGTCCCACTTGTACTGGTGGGATATTTAACCAATTACTATGGACTGCATTATCACTTCAACAAATCGGTCTGTCCGAAGAGATAGATTGTCGATTCTGCTTGGAAACAGACGAGACTTCCAGTCATATTCTCTGTGACTGCCCAGCCTTGATCTGGGCTAGGAGGAGGTCACTGGGTCGACAACTACTCTCCACTTCTGACATTAGAAGGTCCTCAACAGCCGACATTCTGACTTTCATTCGGAAAGCGGAATGTCTTCTGTTAGGTTAGGGTCTGTTGCAGCATAAAAGATCAGCCATGGTCTCAGTGCTTCGCGCCATTGGGAGCTGGTACCCTGTTTATTCCTATTCCTATTAAAATTTGGTTAATATAAACCAAATAAATAGACAGATAATTAATTCTAGTCCTTAAATCTCAAAAGTAATCCATAAAATAATTTTTTTTAATAATTTTTTAATTCAGTATACATTGTGACCGAAAAGTTTCCGGAAATTTTAAATAAAACGCAAAATTCTTAATCTTCATCAATATTTATTTTATCTCCTTCAAAATATGCTCCATTAGAAGCGATACACAAATGCCAACGTTTCTTCCAATCATCAAAACATTTTTTATAGGCGCTTTCCGGTATGGCTTTGAGTTCCCTCTGCGAATTCTGTTTTACGTCTTCTATGGATTCAAAACGCGTTCCTCTGAGTGGTAATTTGAGGTTGGGAAACAGGAAAAAGTCACACGGTGCAAGATCAGGTGAATACGGTGGCTGTTCGATGGTATTTATTGAATGTTTGGCCTTAAAATCGTTGATAATGTTGAACAAATTGAGGTGAATCGGAACAAGCCGGGCGTTGACACGTCGCATACACAAATTGTCCACCAAAATCAAACGAGCCATCTCACGACCGATGCCTAGCTCTCGTGCTATCTCTCTAACACTCACATGAGGATTTTTGAACACGATTTCCTTTGCCTTTTCAATGTTTTCGTCGGTGGTAGAGGTCGAAGGTCGTCCAGAACGCGGCATGTCTTCGACGGTCGTACGACAGTCCTGAAAGGCTTTGTACCACTCATAAACTTGAGTTTTCGATAAAACTGATTCCCCATAAGCCTTTTGTAGCATTCGCAACGATTCTGCACACGAAATTTCGTTCGAAAAACAAAATTTGATGCAAACTCTTTGTTCAATATTTTTTTCCATTGTTTTTTTCGCAACGCACTACTGAGGTGAACTGGTTTCAACAGCTGCCGTAAACGAACTGTCCGACAGATCGCGCTCATTTTTGGCATAGTAATTAAGGACAGTGCTGCCAAACTACATAAACTTAAAATATCGAAAAATATACAGCGCGCGAATTTTAAATGAGAATTTCCGAAAACTTTTCGGTCACAATGTACAATAAAATGGAAACATATAAACAAGAAATATCTTTAAATGAACATTAATATATATAATAGCAGACATTTAAATATTTTTTAAAAAGAAATTTTTACTTTTTCATTTAATGTAGTTAATGTGTTATATATAATACTTATTAATTAAATATTAATTAAAATATTTGCTTAAAAATTGGCAGCATAAGCATCTGAAGTGGAAAGTGATTTTTATTTAAATTTATCTTAAGTGAATATCATCGCAAAAATTTATTTATTTATAAAAAATATAAAAAGATTTATGCTAATATCGGCAGTTTTGAGTTTTATGAAAAAACCATTTTAATAGCAAATTCTCTAAAGCAAAATTTATTAAAAAATTGAAATTTTTATATTTTATCAGAGAAAATCTGTAATGTATTTGAGATGCAATAATGTAAATTCCAAAAATACTCGTAGTAGATGATGTATCTGTTGCGCAAGCGATTGTATCTCATTATAATAACATTACTCATACATATAACTTTTAAAATTTTTATAATTTTAATTTATTTTTTGGTTTTAGTAAAATGTTTGCTAATTTTTTGCTTCAAAAAATTTAACTGAAATAATTGCTATGTCGCCTGTGTGAGTTATAGAGGGACTAAACTGAGTTTAAATACCGGAACATTGTTACGCAGCTAAATTGGCGGTATTTTATCACAGATAAAAAATTAAAATTAGGTAGACTGGAAATGACCTTGCCATGATTTCAATGAAGTAATTCAAAAAAATATGTATGGTAATTACACCTTACAGATAGATACATTTGGGATTTTGGCATAATAATAATAGTGAGTAATAGTGACATACTAACCTGGTTATGCGCTGGATTGTGTTGTTGTGGTGGTTGTTGACTATAGTGTTGCTGATGTTGGCGAGGTGAGCCATAAGAGCCGCTGTTCCCATCGGTATTATAGTAGTGTGGTTGATGATGTGGACTGCTGCCATATTCATAATATATTGGTATATTTGTACCATTTGAATTTGCCGAGGCACCCGCACTATTGCCGTCACCATTGTTAGTCGCGGAGGCGCTAGAACTGGCATTCGCTATCACAGGTTTCATAATGTACAAATATTTTCGTTAACTATTTTTTTTTTCAAGCTCTTTTTTAGATATCGTAGCGAATTGATCTCCGTCTAGGGTTCACCAAAAAAATACTACTACTTTGAATATAATTTTCACGCTTGTTCGCTTTGCAACGAATAAATTTTATCACAAGTAGAACAAATATTTTATCTAAGTATGTTTTGTTCTTGCTGTAAATTTTACTTAAAAAATTTAAAGATTTTTTCGTAACGTTTCCAATTTATACTTTGCGCCGCTTTGAAAAATAATATTAAATTTTATTTTCACTTTTTGCTTATTTTATGTGTATTTTTACGTTTTAATAGCCACTTTCTTTGCATTTATGGTTGGGTAAGGTTTTCGTGCGGGTTGCGGGATGCGGATTACGGATTGCGGATTGCGGACTGTGGTTATATTCTTGCTGTTGTGCTTCTAATTTTAATGGTGGAATTTTTTTCGAAATTTTTTTCTTTTTTTTGGTTGTGTTTCGTTTCAGATACAGACTTTTGCCGAATAATTTTGAAAAATATTTTTAATTTGGAATAAATTTCTTGCAAACTTAATTTTCAACCGAAATATTTTTTCAAATAGAATAATTAGTATAAATTTACTTTTATCAAGTACAATTTTCAAACCTTTAAAACCGCTTTGCTAACAGGTAAAATGTTCGCACTTTGCTATTTATTTATCTATATTATATAAACGTGTATTAACCTTGAATTGTGACGTTTAGAACTATTCACCTTAAACGTATACACTCGCTCAATTGATGACGAAATACTTTTGAATTTTTTCTAGGGTTTTCCGTAAAAAAATACTTTTGCGGTATTCAACCGTTAATTACAGCAGGCAATTTTGATTTATAGTTGCAACAAATATGATTTTTAAAAAAATTTAATTTTTACAACCACTGAAATATTTATTATATGCGGGCAGATTTATCTTTCTTTAATGCTCTAGCACTTTCTTCTTGATACAGTATTTTTCTTTGATTTCTACGTCATATCTAAAAATGCTTTCGGACCGCAACGTTACACTTAGCTTTAGCGTTACTCTTCAACTGCCTGCAGTGTGTGCTATGTTCGCGCTTTTGCCACAAAGCTGTCAATTTACTCTCAATTCAATTTGCTTTTGTGCTCTCCGCAGTGTGAATAGCTTTTGTTGTTGGCTTAAATATGTGTCAAATTTGTAGTTTCCTTTTTAGAAAAGCTTCCACATTTATGCGGAGAGATTACAGAATACATTAAGGTGAGAGATGCTACCGAGGTACAGTGGGTAAAAATAAACTAAAGCAACAAATATTTTTTTTATTCTTACCCTTAGTATTTATACAGAATTTTGGTTTATATATTAATTTAAGTATATTTTAATATATTTATACCACATTTTAACGGGTTTTTATAAACTATTGATTAATTGAAAAAAACAAAATTTTAAATTTTTATAAAATTTTTTTTTTTTAATTTTAATTGACAACTGAAACTGAATATGTTTAAATTGTTGAATTCTACATTACATACACTGAAGATTTTCGAGACCCTAAAATTTTTGTTAAAAATAAAATGTTTAAAAATTAGTAATTTTTTTACCATTTACTTTTTTAAAGTTAGTTTTTTAAAGTTATTAAACCCGGAAATACATTTAAGTTTTTAAGGGACTTTTATGTCTCAAAAAGACCCCTAAGTTTTTATTAATAATATGCTTAATTTTGCAAAAATCTTAATTTCATCTTCGTTTCAGCGAAATTAATTTGTTTTTTTGATACAAATTTCAGTTTCGAGGTTAGAACGAAATTAAGGAAAATGGTCTTAATTTCGTTGAAATGAAGGTTAAAATTAAGGGACATTTCAAATGCAACTACGCGTAAGATAAAGTTTAAGCAAAAATAAGCAAAAAATAAAGTTGAGATAATGAAAAAATCACTTCTTTTCAAATAAATGTAAATGACAATTGAGTTTAATACAAACGGGAAATATTTTGAAAGTAGTGCAAATTTTGAAATTTTATTATAGAGAAAAAACTGTGACTGCTATTAATTTAAAATAGAGTGAAAAATAATAATTCACGTACCTGAAATTTACTAAAGCTAATAAAACTACTGAATGCCATTCTTTATAGTATAGTACATAGTATAGTATAGCCATTCTTTTATAGTATATACAAATGGTGTTTGGAACATATAATTTTTAAAATGCGATTTGTAAACAAAAAACATGATTTCCTTAATTTTGGACAGTATGAACACTATGAAAATTAACTTAATTTCATTTTTACGAAATTAAGGAAATTTGGCTGTCTGATTATGGAAAAATAAAATGTAAAATATTGTTATAGTTGTTTTTTGTTACATTTTTAAAGTTATTAGACCCTTAAATATGCTTAAAGTTTTTATGGTACTTTTATTTCCCAAAAAGACCCCAAAATTTTTGTTAAAAATAAAAGGTATAAAAATTAGTTATATTTACAACATTCAGTTTTTTATGAATTTTTTATTAATTACTTGAACAATGGTTTGATTCCATTAGATGTATTCCGCTGAACAAAAATAATAAAGAATACATAAAGAAAATACTATTAAAAGCACCTTTAATTTTTCATCTTATTAGTTGCTAACAAGTTCATGCTTTTTAAGACATAGATATATTTAACTATAATTAATTCATATTAATTTTTGACGTAAAACTCGTTAATTGTGAAAACATAACATTTGAATAATTTCAGCAGTGATGACATTTTGTCAGCAAGAGATTTTAGCAAGAGATTTGTTTTTGGAGCGGCTGATTACACCTATTTTTGTCAAATTATTTTCTCAAGTGTACAAAAAATGACCACTTGTAAAAATTTTACTTCAATCCCTTTTAAAATATTTTGGACTATTTTACGCTATATAATTTTAATTTTTACATCTAATATATTAATATTTCTAAAATACTTCGAACAGTAATGAAGAAGCAACAACTACAAAAATTTTATTAATTTATTGAAATTTTCCTGACCATACAACGCTGTTTCGAGAATTGCCAAGTACTTATTACTGATCTTGTAAACTATTCGAATTTTTATTTAATTAGTTTATAGTCCACATATAATTTCTTGGATTGCAAGTGCCAGGCTTAGAACTTGTACCTATCAAATTAGAAACTATGGCTAATCGTATTTTTCCACAAGTATCTGTGGTTATATTATATCGAGCTTATAAACTACAACTTGTGAAAACACAAGTTCAACGAATTAAAAACTATTTTTGTGGTTGCCTATTTTTTATTTTTATACTTACTATATATAAAGTACCTTTTTTTGGGTGCAATTTTACAAAGAAGCTATGCAAGTTATAAGTACTTCATTCGAACTAGAAGGTTCTAACCCTTCTAGTTTTTTTTTCGTCATAAGACACGTCACATTCGACAAAAAAAATCTACCTTATTAATATTTCATTTTTCAATTAAATATTTTGATCAGTTCTACTTAATTATTACATATTTTTGTTTAAAATATTTTCATATCATATTTTCATAAAATATCAATGAAAGACAAGTTTTTACAAAAATAGTGTAATATCATACTTTCTACGCAAGCATATTTACCTATATTTAAAATATTTAGTTCTCGAAAAATTTCGTAAAACTGGAAAGAATTTTTTAGAACAGGGCTGTCCAAAGTACTGCTGGCGGCTAATGTTTGTACGGCCCGCGACATTATTTTAATCTACAATAATTACGTAAATTTTTTTTGATGTACTGATAAAATTACATTAATTTCTTTTTATAGTATACCAAACAAATGAATTTATATGATAAATTAATAAAACTAAATTTAACATTATAACCGTATTTTTGTTTTTATCGAAAACAACTATGAACTTATGTATTTGTTTCTGCGGCCCTTCAATCTATACAGTGATTTGTATTGGTCTGCGATGGCATCTGGTCTGGACGGTCCTGGTTTAGAATATTGAAATTCGTTAAAATTATTTTTCAAACCGTGACACTGTCTCAATTGGTATTTACCCTCTTTAACATAAAATCGGATTTGTGTCACATCAAAGTACCAATAATGATACATGATTATTCATAAAAGCGTTAAATACTCCAAACGTACTCCAAATATACTTCGATAATACTCCAATTATTACATTACGTTAAATTATGATTATTTATAAAAGCGTTAAATACTTCAAACGTGCTCGAAATATACTTCGATTATACTCCTATTATTATGTTGCGTTGATTTATAATTCATGATTATTCAAAAAAGCGTTAAATACTCCAAACATACTCCAAATATACTCCGATTATACTCCTATTAATATGTTGCGTTAATGTGTGATTCATGATTATTCATAAAAGCGTTAAATACTTCAAACATACTCCAAATATACTCCGATTATACTCCTATTATTATATTACGTTAATATGTTTACGCAAAATAGTTTTTATTTTTCCACTGTATCGAGCAATGTAGCTTGTTTTGATCTAAACAGATAATAAGTACCAATAATGATATACGATTATTCATAAAAGCGTTAAATACTCCAAACATACTCCAAGTATACTCCGATTAAACTCCTATAATTATATTTCGTTAATTTATTTGCGCAAAATAGTTTTCATTTTTCCACTGTATCGTACAATGTAGATTGGTTTGATCTAAACAGATAATTAAATTAAATATGAGCACACCGTTTCAGATATCGAACAATACAAATGCCCAATCGAATGAGAACGATTATAGACAGAGTGGATTGAACACAAAGGCTAAGATGAACAGGCATATGTGGAACGGTAGCCATCGGAGACGACAAACCAACAAGCGAGTACGTATCAAAGCGTTTTGACGTGCGGAATACACACACATCAGATTTAAAAATAGAATTAACGTGGGAATAACGAAATGATCGACAAACACAAATGCACGAATATCGCTTCTTGGCGCTTTTCAGCTCTTTTAATATAATTTTTTTTTTTGGCACGAAGTAATTTTACTTGCACTGTTGCCAATGGAAACATTCACGAAAATACTTACATGAATTGTTGGAAAGATTTTGGACTCCTGACAGTTGAGTGCTGTTGCATAGCACATATGTGCCGTGCCTTATAATATCATAAAAGTCAGATAAATGTAATAAGATTTGCGCTGTTTCTGTTCGTAGCAAAATGTTAGAGCATTTTTGAACTAATTTTTAAACAATACTCTCAATAGCACTCTTTCTCAAATTCTCTCAATTTTATGCTATCTCATATCTCATAAACTACAAAGATTCAGAAAAAATATAATGAAAATAATAATCACTATATCAACCCAACATGCCGAGATATTGTAGACGAATCTCGAACAAAATTTTGTTTATAAAATTTTTAAATAAAATCAGCTGCAAAATTATTTTGTAGGTGGATTAAAAATATTTTGTTCTATTAAATAATATACAAAAAAAAACCAAACATTTGTGCACGTACACATGTAAATCTATATATATGTATATATTGTTTTTATTTAAAAAATAATAAGTGTATAAAATTAATTTACTATAGAAAATTGAATTTAATTAAAAATAACACTAGTGTGTAATATATTTATTGCATATTAAATTACAGTTTTTCATCGGAGTTACTTTAAAAAAAATTTTAATTTTTAAAGGAAAATAATAGTCTAGATTTAGTTACATAAAATATTAAGTAAAATATTTTGCAATTGTCATTATTAGAAATACCATAATTAGCCACAGATAAATAGAATATATGTATGTGTACCGGCAAAACCGTTTGCAGTGTTAGAATAAAATACGAAAAAAATGTCATAACTTTTAATTTTATTTCACTAAATTTAAATAATAAATAATCAGTTCTAAGAACTTGATATACTTTTCTTTTACTTTTGTATTTCAACTATTTTGTTGAATACAAAATCATAAATATGTTTTATGAAATATGAATCATATATATACAAAATGTTTGAAGACAAGGAATCTAGTATTCGAAAAATTGTCATCGAAAAATTTTAGGCAGGAACTCATCTAAGATTCAAAAGTTAATTAATTCTTTTAAACTGTAGTCTCAGTCTACTATATTATGTTAGGAACAATAGAATACCGCAGCATGCGAAAAATTTTTAGACGTTTTAATCACTTTCGCCGAACAATGAAACGCCTATTGCGACGCAAATGATTGTTCTATTAGACAATCTTTCTAATAGTGTAAATCATATTTCAGGTAAACATTCAAGAAAAGGGAAACAAGCACTAATTTTTCTAATTGTTAAAATGTTTATAAATTGTTTGACGTTATAATAAAAATACAAAATCAACAAAATACATATACTTTTTAATTAAATCTGACTAGTAAACTTTAAATATATATATTACAACAAGTT